CAATAAAATAGGCAAATGAAAGTATTTCTACTTCAAATAATGCAGCTGTGTGAAATGCGAAATATTTAATACTGTTGTCCAAGATGTGGAGATCTCCCTTGCTATATGATTTTGTTGTAATTGGCATATATTTGAAATTTGAAGCTTTAGTGTGCCTCGTAGCAACAAATAGTGAAAATTTAGCAACCTCAATGTATGATCGATATCAAAATTTTAGTCCGGAAATGGAAGATACCCACTGGGAAGATGCCCACCCAGTGAAAAGCTAAGCTTTCCACACAGACCACCTATTTGTCCACTTTAAAGTCGCTTTAAACACTATATTTAAAAGCAGTCTCTATGCCTCTAGGCCTTAATTTAGTATTCAAGCAAAACTTATATGGCTATGCAAAATGATGTTGAGCAACACCACCAGCTCCGTTAGAATCGGGAAGAACGTTTTCAAGTCGTTTGATACCAAAAGAGATTTGAGCCAGGATGACTTCTTGTCGTGTGACTACATCAACCTAATGTTGAAAAAGATTATTCGAGCAATAGATTTAAATCGTACTTGTACAATATTCTACAAAAGTGTAATGCCGATGATATTGATATCATTGACTTGAACCCTGTTTATTTGGAAACCAGCGTTAACACTAAAAATGACGTAAGCTTAAAGATTCAACGAAGAATCACTTTTGCCAACATACGTTACTTCAGGGTAAGTAGGCAACTGAGAAATGAAGCCCTCTCTTGACAAACATATATCACATTCTACAAGTCTTTTATCATGCCAATCCTCCTGTTTGGTGCAAAAGAATTACCACCAGTGATAAAAAGCGTTAGGAGCATTCGACAAAAAAATTCTTCGGAAGATTTATGGCCATTTATGCATTGGCGACGAGTATCGAAATAGATGGAATGATAAGCTGTATGAGCTATACTGCGGCTTCGTTGGCTTGGTTATGTGATGCGAATGAAATAAAGTGCTCTGGTTAGAAAATTGTTTGATTTGATTTGTTCGGAGAGACCAGGTGACAAGTAAATGTTCGGGCCTTCTGGCGGAGGCTACTCAACACGGCCAGGGACGACTAACGTCTGTAATGGTCAATTTAGTAAATAAGTAAGGTATGTGGACATACGCCCAATATTTCTAGCACCTTTCGCTGCTTTTTGACATCTCTTGTTATTTCTGTTCCTAATAAATACATACGTTCTACTTCTTGTGCCAATATATCTGTTGGTCACATTCCCGCTATTACTACTAATGTTTCGTTTGAGACTTTGTGGAAGGCACTGACGATCCATAATGCACAGAGGCGATACGTTGATATTATGACAGACAGGTAAGGTTTTTACGTATGGCATCGTCCCACGCTGTATAGAGTATAATGGGGCTTACTACATTTGCCAGTAAATAAAAGATATATAAAATAAAATAAATAAAATAAAAGATATACGAGTGTGTATTAGTACATCAAGGGCAGGATGTTATTCCACAGCTTGCTGCCCTAAAGGTTATTATTTTTTTTACATTTTTGGTGCTTATAAGAACTGTTTCTGTTTTTTTTCTGTTGTGAGCTGGATGCTTGCTTTATTCAGACACTCAATAATCACATTGATTGATTCAGTGCATGTCGCATGTAGTTTTTCTTTCATCTAGACAGTTATTGTCACCTCAAGATCGTGTGAGAAGCCAACAATTATTTCACTTTCTGGTTATCTTATTCGCAAGACACTATCGTAGATTGTATTTCACAGTATCGGTCCCAACACTGATCCTTGTGATACACCTTTGGAAATGGTATACTACTTTACGCCTTCATCTGTGTCATAAAAAGGAACTTATTATTATTTATTATTATTGTTATGGGATGTGACACTGCGATCGTCGGGTCTATTGTGCCCTCTTCTGGGTTAGAGTAGGTGTTTAAGCCCTGTTGCGTCTTCCGTAGGGCATTCTAACAGCACATGTATGCCGACTCCTCTTTCTCTTCACAGAATCTACAGTTTGCATCCGTAAGTGTACCCAGTTTTGTAAGGTGGTGTTTTAGTCTACAGTGCCCTGTTAGGATTCCTGTGATGATTCTATGTTTTTCTTTTGATAGGTTTATACAATCATAGTATCTTTTATTATTTTAGGCACCAATAAGTGATTTAGATTGTTTTAATTCTGGTATATTGTATATTTATTTTTATGAGAGACAGAAGCGTACTATTTTTTAGTTCCCAAAAAGGTTCCGGCCCCATTATCGGCGTGGCTGCTTCTTTCTGGTTAGTGTGTCCGCGTATTCGTTTTCGCGTACGGCAGTATGTTCCGGTACCCAACTAATTGATACCTGATTTGTTTCGCCAAGCAGATTTATCTTATTAAGGCAGTCTAACACCAGTCTTGAGGTCACCTTATGCGAGTTTAGTGCCTTGATCGCCGTTTGGCTGTCTGTCAGTATTGCAATACTTTTACTCTAGTAATTCTGTTTAATACTGGTAAGTACGCATTTTAAAATTGCGTAAACTTCCGCTTGCAAAATGCTAGTATTTTTCCCCAGCGCTTCCCAGTGTTTCTTGCCTGGTCCGACTATGCCCGCTCCGACACCTTCCTACGTAAGCGAGCCGTCAGTGAAGCATGCGATTGTGCTATTCGTTAGCTGGTGAGTTTGATTGACACCCTCTCAGCTTCTTTTGTTGCTTAGTTTAGTTTTAAAAAGCTTAGTAAAGCTGAACTTAGGATTCATCGTGTCCCATATCATTGAAAGTTCCGTACGCTGCTGCGCAAGATTTTCCAACTTCTTTCTATTGAGCCAACTACCCGTTATATTTCCTTTCTTCATTCGTAGAACTGTCCTTTCCGCTTGGGACCTGATGTATATCGGCAAGGGTGTGAGTTCTACATGAAATTACTAAGCTTCCATGTAATATCACAAACTAATGATCAGCAATCTTCTATTACCTGCTTCAAAGGTATGTTGTTTATTCCTCTTTGATTTGTTCTTTTGCTACCCTATGCAAGGTTCCATGTGTTTGTCACAATTTCTGACATCATGGCTTCGAATTTTTTAAGCTTCAAACTTAGGGGTATAAAGCAAGAAAAGCAGTACATTCCATCTTTTTTAATTCAGGTTAAACCGTATTTTGCGGTCATGACTCTCCATGTAGACTGCTAACATTTATGTTCCAGGTAACAATTTTGACAGGTTAAACCATATTTTGCCGTTATGACTCTCCGCTGTAGACTGCTAACATTTATGTTCCAGATAGCAGTTTTGCCAGCTGTGTCAGAAATCTATTCACTTCTTTTTAGATTGCGAAATTGCTTACTTATTATAGTATGTAGTTTACGTATGCAGTTTGTGTGCATTGGTAACCTTTGGTCATATGCACTGCTGTTTCTTCATGATGTAGAATGCCGCATTGTACTCATCTGGCTTCGCAAACTATCGCCGTGTTTTTTAGTACACCTTCAATTGTGGATTGAAACTGGGCACCACTATGCTCGGGTTTATGTTTAGGTTTCAGTATCAACTAATTTTTTGTCGTTTTTACATTTTCACCAAGTGGTTTTTATACTTCGTCACCTTTTAATTTCTTAAATATATCAGCATATGAAATATATGTTGCTGCAGATATGATCAGCGCATCTTGTTTAGGTCGAATTTTGTGCCTCTGCTTCGATTTTTTTTTCTTCGGTTTTACTTTGTCCACGTTATCTGTTGTTCTTTTGCATCGATATTAGTTTCTTCTTTTCGTTTCGCTGCAGTAGTGACAACTGGTTTTGTTGTTTCTATTGTCAAGTTTACTTATCCACCGTCAATGTTTAGTTAGAGTTCTAGTTCTTCTTTTAAGCTTGCTTTTTTACTTTGACTACCATCGTATTGCTGATTTCCTCTTTGTAGTTTTTTCCAATATTAATACTTTATACCATTTCCATGCTAAATATTATATGTCCCACCTTGCAACCGCTGTCTTTGCAGGTACATGCGGTTTCTGTTGTCTCATGGTCATGGATGTAAACAAGGAGGTCATTAGAGGGTTGACTTTGGTCCTTATGGGGTCCAGGTTTTAGATGGAACTAATAGGGGGCTCTCTCAAACCAAACCTACAAGGTCGCTAACAAGACGACTATGTGCATTAAACACTCTGTGAGACTGGCTAATTCTTCATGAATGAGTCCGCGTATTCACCTGAGAGCTGTTTTTGCAAGATTTCAATCCGCATACTCAGGTAAAAGAGATCCGAAGTGGAATACTCTCATTTTGAGAAGAAAAATAAATAAATAGTAATATATTTAGCTGAAGAGCACACTGCGATACTTTTTATGTCACAAATCTATGATGCTTAAGGGTCGTGGCTACAGAAAAGCTGATCATGCAACAAAACCACACAAAAATGTTGATGGTCTCGCTATATTACAAATAAAAACTGACGAACAGGTTAACAGACTTCGAAAATTTTTACTCGTAATTGTTACCACATATATACTTGTCTGATTAAATAAGATTTCTGCAAAAGTTTGCGTAAGTAAATATAGATCGTCATATAATAAAGTGTGGTAATATATATGGCAGTATTAGTTATAATATATGTTGGAGTATGTAACAGAATTACACTATGTATTTCTTAACATAAAACGTAAATAAAACACCATAATTCTCAAAGTAAGGCCATCATGCCCACTCTTCTTCTAAAAAGCCGCCAAAGAGTTGTAGTGTCATGTTGCATTTGTATTAAAATTTATAACGTTTTCGAAAAAAATTAATAGATGAGAAATTTTTTTGAACAACTGCAAACTCAAAAGACTTAGGTTTAAAATTACTTTACTACAACGTAGAGGGAAGAACCACATATAAGATTCTAAATTAGTTTTTCTAAAAATTTTGATCATAGACTCTATTGTGGAACCCCGTTATTGTGACTTTAATAATAAAAATATTTGAAACAAAAGTGATCAGTAGTAACAGGATTAATATATATTTATTATTTATATATATATATATATATATTTTAAAAACAACAATTTTATATACACCAAACATACATTTTAACTTAGAAATAAAAATACTTCATAATAAATTGCACTGAATTTGGTATTTTGTACATTTAATTGGCACTTTAAAACAAGTAATTATCTAAATGTAGGCTAAGTTTGTACCAACAATTTTTATTATAAACCTTATGCTTCTAGACATATAGATTAACAAATAAGTTAAGATTTAAGTTCTACATGCAAATGTGTAAAGGAAAGATACAAACTTCTAATAAAAATTAAAAATGCAATATTTGTATTGTAAAAAAAAAATTTATATCATTGATTCGAATAGCTGTTTTTGTTGTTGTGATACCACTGTATGAATGACTTGCACCTCACCGTCATATTCGCTTCGACATATTAAATGCTTTGTTCTAAAAAAAGAAATTCGAAAAAAAATTAAAGGAATAATTTCATTAAATTTTTTGACGTATTTAAAATATTTTACTATTTTTTCAAATAACTGTTTTAATTATAAAACACAAAAATATGTGCTTTTAACAGTTTGGAGACATATTTCATAATTTTTTTGCTTCTTTAGCATACAGCTACTGGTTGGTATATATAGATTGCATGAGCGGTGTAGCATATCAAAAAACTACATGGCACAATTTAAATTATAATGAAATATAAATTGAAATTTTTCTAGTTTCGCTATGACGTAAAATATGCTAGTAATTAGCATCAGAATGTTCAATCGTGACACCTCTAGAACCATATGACACTCTCTTGATCATTGAACACAACGTCAGATTTAGCTCTTCTTAATTGATGCAGATTATAGCTTAAGTAGTCCAAAACTGACTGAGGATAAAACGTTTTTGCGGGTAAGATATGCATGCTGCTTAATTACTTAAATTGTCATACTAAACCGTTATAGAGTTTTGGCTTGACACAGCGTGTCTCTCCAGGTACATCTGCTGCGTGCATGCCTTTTTCAGTCTCTTAGATCAAAGGTAATATCTCTCTTAACTTGATTACTCCACCCGAGATATGGTCTACCTCTATGTTGTCTTCCTCCAATTATCGCTTTAAATAGCTTCTTCACTAAAGCGTCTTCATACATTTTTACGACATGGTGAAACCACCGAAGCTAATGTATGTTACTTCGTTGAATAATATCAATGGCTATTACAATATTATAAAATATTATAATAATAATATTTATACTAATGTCCAAACTCGTACAGCTTGTGATTTACATCCCAATTGTCTATTGAGCTCAAAATATCGTCTATAGACAGTGGTGACTCTTTGATATCGATTCTCTTGACTGACATCGATGTTTTGACAAATTCCTTGACAAATTCGCAAGTATAGAAGCCAGACGATAGCTTGGCGTTTGACCGACGCTTTTTTCTACCAGTACCCGACATATACTTCGTTTTATCGTCATTCATCCCTAGTTGTAACGTGTAGTTGTAGTAGTTGTAACATGACGCTTGGTGGCCTAATAATGTCAGTATCATCAGCGAAAACAAGAATCTGGACACAATTATAGAATATGGTGCCGTTACAATGAGCACATATTTTGCACATGATTACTTGATGAAATTGAAGCCTAGTATGATATCAAAAGCTTTAGTGAAACTCCATCCAAACTTGACAGAGCTACGAGTACTGCCCAACATCATTTTTAACATTATTGTATTAACATTGAAGAGACACCAAGCTCAGATATTGCGGGGTAAACAAGATCCCTTTCGAAAGCTGCTTTAAAATCGAAGAATAGATATGGCGTGTATCCATGTTGTTTTCGAGGGGTTTTTCCAGGAGGCCAGGTAGAGAGTCGCGCTAATAATAAGGCCCAATCAGTTAGTTAATATGTATAATCTAATAATCTATAACACAGTACAGTTGATAGGACCTGTTACGCCACAGGAATCAGGCTGATCCCGCTGTAGTTGGCGCAAATCGTCAGGTAGTCTTTTTTTAAAGTAGGACAGAGAAAACTAAGGTTTAATCATTCGGCACACTTTAATCCAATCATATTCTACAGATAAGCTGATGCATGCTCTCTATCAGTATGTCGGCACTGACGTTGAACAATTTCGTTCTTTCTCTTGTGTCCTAAACTCACGATATTGTTTGCGTACGATTCGCATAGTTACTGTTTGTAGAGTTCTCGTATAGTCTAGTACCAATATCATATACACCTACATAAGAGAAAACATACAGCACTGAGTAGTAAATAAGCGAATCAGCCAATTATTTGGGGCTTAGTCGATTCTAATCGAGTCTCGTCTCGTAGTTGCTCATAGTTACTAATTAAAAATGAATCAGTTGAAATTCGACAACCTAACCTTAACATTACGGTTCTAGCCCCCTGCGGAATAAGAGCTAGAATATTCTTGCGGTAATATTAGGATTTCTGTCGTAAGAGGCGACTAAAATCCCGTCAGGCATCGGAAGGTGTGGTTTAAAAGGTCACAGAAACTTTGAGAAGCTCCTGAGCTGAGCCGAGTAGGTGCCTGCTCTAAGTAGGCGTCCACCATCTCGGAATGGTAACGAGGGATATTTAAGTGCACAGAGAGAGGTTAAAAAGCCCTGCACTATCAAAGTATACAAGCGTGTACGTCGTCGTAAGAGCATGCAATAATGATTATGAGTTCAGGGTTCAAACATCCATCAGAATCGAGCCTAGTACGATCCTGTTGTTACCTGAGTATATAAGGGTGACATCTCATAGAATTGGCTTTTAGGTGAATATCACATTTTCCTCCGTTTTTAAAACTTGGAAAGTTTCAAAGTACGTTGATGAGACATCATCGCCGTTAAGATGGTGGTATGGATTCAGTTGAGAGTAGTCCTGCTCTGCGTGAAATCCTTGCCCTGAATATAATCTCCCATAAGGAATTGTTTCAACCCTGTATGGCCTCCCTGCTTTGCATAAATAATCATGGGGACCGTTATGAGTGATCAGACAATCGAATATCCATAGCGGTGAGGAGTTTGAAATCTGCAACTTGGATAGGCTTATAACGAAAAAAGAAGTGAAAGTTCAGCAATAACCGTAACTTTATATGTTTATGTATAAATAATATATATTTCTATATGCATTTATCTAGTCTGTACATTAGCCCATTAAACCTCCAAATCTGAAGTAGACCGTTACGCCGAGGATGTTTGGCTGGTGTGTATCCAGTCGTAAGGAATTCAGTAAGGAATTCAGGATACCGGGCGCTGTCCTGATTTAACTAATGCCTTCCTAAAGCATGGGGCTCTGCATTGGGTGACAGTTTTTTCCATTTTCTTAAACATTTGCATATGGAACAAAATTTTAAAATAACTAACAATTTAATTACAGAGTCCACGATGGTGATACGTCTAATGCTAACACCCAGAGCATGGTGAACACAGGTGACGGTAACAAAGCGACCAGAAAGAAGGCGGAATACTTCACAGGGAGATAGAAAGAGAGAGAGCTCTCCACAAAGCTTCCCTGCCAGCAGAAGGAGAAAGTGACTGACCCAGTACCAGCAAAAGGTGCACATCTAACAACACATCTCCAGAAGAAGTACAACGCCTTCAGCCCAAGAAGCCAAGCAACTAGCTCCATTAAAAACCAACCGAAGACGACTCCATCTTACAGGGACATTGTCAATGCTTGCAATATGGCTATTGCCTATAAGAAATATTCGGAGCTTAATCTCACTGGTGATCAAATGAAGTTGATAAAATCGAAGCTCCAGGAAGAAATTGATACACTTCCTAAACACGATATTGTTTACGGATTCATTACAAGTCTTAACAGAGAGGATGGCTATCATTAGTATGCTGCAATGGTGAAACGAGGAATTGGCCGACCAATTGTGTCTCAAAGCTTAAACTACTCCCGGATGTTACTCTCAAAATTTTTCAGGGCGGAGAGATGCCCAAAACATATGTATGTATCACTTTCATTTCCCCCTCCCCTGTGCTATCACCGGACATTTTGCTGACTCACCTGGAAAAACAAAATAGTGGCATATGCACGTCATCGTGTAGGATTCTCAGAACTCAAAACGACAAGAATGGTGGGGAAACCATCACGATCTAGGTTGATGAGAAATCCAATAATTGGATAGTCGGTCAGGCAGGGCAGCTCTACCTGAACTTCACTCAAATTCACGTATGGGTAAAGGGAGAGTCCAGGGTATCTAAAAAACTGGAGATAAAAAGACCACTAACGACCTTTTCCATGCAAAAGACCGCATCCAAATGATAAGCCCAGTACCTCAAAAGCACAAGCAGATAGGCCAAGTGATATAGTAAAGCTTACAAGGGACAACACTTGAACCGATGTCGGTTCCAGCACTTCCAAGCAGCATGATGGTACACCGGTCACTAGAGTAAAAGATCAGAAGCAAGGGTCAATGAAAACAGCTTCGAAATCTCCTCGACAGGAAACACCTACTCATGGGATAAAATTGCTTAAGTGGATGCGGAACGGAAAGGGACGAAATAAATAAAAATGATGAGGTGCCTGCAGGTTAATCTTCAACACGCCAAAGCTGCTACGTTGTTGTTGATACAGCGACTCATATCTGAAAAGATTGACCTGACCTTTATCCAGGAGCCATTTGTATATGAGAACTAGATAAAGGGACTGAAAGGTAAGTTACTGTACGGCTATGCCAGCCATGGTCTACCTGGAGCTTGTATTTTGGTAAGGGATTAATGTTTTCATTATTCTACAGCAAACCAATAAGGATCAGGTAGCAGCATTTATTTCTGTGGACACCACAGTAAGTAAGACAGAGCTCATTGTTTGCTCATCTTACCTATCTGGAGACTCTGAACATCATAGCTATATGGTGTAGAGAAGTAGGGTTAAATGTAATTTTAAAAAAAACAAGTCTGGTTGTCTTCTTCAAGAAAAGAAAAACAATGCTTTCTAATAACCCATCCCTGAATGAAGAAGAGCTATCAGCTGTTAGCCAGGTAAAGTACCTGGAAATGATTCTGGATGAGAAATTGACGTGGAATTCTCATGTAGACAACGTAACCAAAGAGCCGGAGAAGAATTATAGACCAGTAGAAACCTCATTAGTAAACACTAGGGGCTAAATCCTAAACTGAGCCTCTGGATGTACACATCTACTGCTAAGCCAATTGGTATCTACGGATCATCCATCTGGTACAAGAAAGCTCAGCAGAAGACTGTGATAGACAAGCTACGTAAGCTGCAGAGATTAGCCTGTCAGGTGTATTAGGCTGAAGTACACGCAATTGCACTATGTCTAAGGAAATATAAAGGGAAACCTGTCACAGGAAAAAACATATATATTTTCTCTGACAGTAAATCAGCACTCCTTGCACTACGCTCACCTCGAGTAACCTCAAAACTAGTGTGAGAATGCCTTCAATTTCTCAAAGACTTTACTAAAAGGAACAGGTATTACTAGAAACGATAGCTGCAGACTTTGTTATGAAAAAAAGAAAATACCAGAATATATTCTGTGTCACTGTGATAGTCTCGCCAGACTCAGACTTCGGTACTTATCCACTGCCTATCCACTTATAACGGAATTAGGCAACATTTCTCCAAAGGACATAATGGCGTTCTTCACTGCTTCTCGTCTATGGAACTAAAGTGGGTATGTCACAATAATCCTTAAAGGATACAGTAACTTGATGACAAGTAACTTGATGAACCATCTTAAAACTTAACCTAATCTACAGTAAGAATTACGCTCCAGAATTTCATGAAGAAAGTGGACCAAAAAATATCTGGTACCAATATCAGTAAAAAAATAAAGGCATAAAACATAGAGAAAGCGCAACTGAAGCTAAATATGGAAATGAAACGAACGCATGCATGGGTAGATGCTGGCCTGCAAATAAAATAAACAGATCAAATACATTTAATTGAACTCATTGAAATATTTACAAACTGAAATTGAAGATATTTCATAAGATATATTTATTTAAAATAAAATAACAGACAATATAACTTACGGATTACTCCCACTGATTTCTCGTACTTTTGCTGTGACTGGTATAATAAGCTGCTCCATAATTGCTCCATCTTTATTGACATGTTGAAACATTTTGGATCGGTTAGGTGCTTGTTCTGATGACTTGGTTTCTTGCCTTAGTGGAATATGAATTATTGTTGGTATTGGTTCTTTTCCATCATTATATCCAGAACTTGAACGTGGCTGGTAAAAGTAATTTTATAATAATGTCATTCTTTTATAAATATTAACTTTATTGGAATTTTTTAAATTCAATTTTGAACATAAGTCAACTTAATTCCATAACATCATTTGATTATAAATTCCAATACTAATAAATTTTAGTATATATGAGTAAAATAGGTAATGTTATTTGCATGGGTTTGAAAAGATTTGAAACTCATATGATTAAATAATTGTGAGTTCCATATGATTATGAATATATAGTTAGCTTTTTGATCAGAACCGGATGCTTTTAAAGAAAATAGTTTTTTTTAATAATTATGAAAGACATTTCACCAAATACCTAAAACAAGGAAATTGAATTTGTCAAGATGATCTTATGATAAAAGTAAAAGTTTTGAAATAATGATATAGATGTTCATGGATTCAAATATATTAACACATCTATATTCTAAATGAATATTATTTTTTAACCACCTGGACTATTTTTAATACAATATTAGATAGATGGTTCCGTGGTAGACAGATGGCTTCAAAACGGTGGAAGGGGTGGGCCGGGAGTATATGGGATTAAATAAAAAGAGGAAATATTTGCGGGTATGAGTTAAGAAAACTCAATTTTTCAGGCCGAAGTACACGCTATTGAACTATGTCCAAGGTAATATAAAGAAAAAACATTTTCTATGATAGTAATTCAGTATTTTTAGTACTAGGCTCACCTCGAATAATCTTAAAACTAGTGTGGGAATGCTTTTAACTTGTCAAAGACCTTACTGAAAGGAACAGGATTCACTTAATATGGATCCCAAGACACAGCGGATTTAAGGGAAACAAGAAAGCAGATGAACTAGCCAGAAAAGGGGCGGCCTTATATCTTATTGGGACACAACCATTTTGTGGTCCTTCATGAGGCTTTTTTAAACTTAAAATTAATGAATGACTGGAAAGAGCAGCTCAGACTGATTGGGATAATATAACTGCTTGCAGACAAGCTAAAGAATCCATGCCACTGAACATTGTGGAGTTAAAAAGCGTCTATTGAACTTCGGTATTACTGGAGACGATAGCTGCAGACGTTGTTTTTTTAAAAAAAGAACACATTCTGAGCCACTGTGATAGTTTCGCAAGTCTCAGATTTCGGTACTTATCCATTTTTAACGGAAAACGATAACATTATCTCTCCAAAGGACATAACATTTTTAACTGCTACGAGCCTATGTCACTAAAGACGGTTTGTCAGAATAATCTTCAACGGATGCAATGACGTGGTGAAAAGTTCTCAAGCCGTTTTACAATCTAATTTAATGGTGAATTTAAAATGTTGTTTTTTCCGAGTTTTAAAATGCTCCAAAGTTGTGCAACAAATATTGTTCTTTTGTTAATATATGCAGTTTAATTCATTAGAGCTGTTAATAACAGCACTTCCTTCGTTTTCTTAAGATAATTTTGTCGTTATCTACTGGCATCTTGTGAAATATATTCACAAGCATACGCATACTTAATTTTCATTAAACAATTCGTTTCGTTTTGCACCAATCTTTAATTTTGAGCGACGATACAGCTGTTTCTGAAACAAAAAAAAAGATAAAATTTTAAAACGTTTTCGGTAGAAATGGAAAATTCATCTACGTACATTCAATTGTACCAGATAGTCTGCAGCATATCTCTTAATCATCACCTTTAGATTTGTGGTCTTGTAATTGTTTCTCTTCTAAACAGACGCTTATTTATTTATTTGTTTCTGTTGTGTTTTATTGTCAGTTGCGAAACACAGTAAAAATTTTTCATTATTAAAAAATAAATTATATATTATATATATATTTTTTTTTACTCTAGTATCTCTTCACTGTTAATGATATTTAATTTATTTATTTAAAAAATAAAGTGTCAAATGTTGTACAAATATGCATATTACATACATACATATATATTATAGTTGCTAATGGCAATCAAATCAAAATGTGATTTACACAATTTTTTTTATGTGAAAAGTTTTTCACAATTTCTTTCAAACAGATGACTAGTCTGATATATAATATATAATATACTTGTTGCTGAATCTTTTTTTTTTATCAAAAAAATCCACAAAAAACATCCGCATATCAAAATAAAGAAGCTACTATTATTATGATTGCAATTTCCATTTTGATTCGCCATGAATAAACTTTATTGACTTCTGTCTGCTAACCTATCTGCTCTTTTAATTGATACATTTCGATTCCATCTACTGGTGTATACTGAGGCAAAAATCTTCTTTACTATAATGAGACAAGTTAATACCGCGGTCGGAATTATTCATATATTTTTGTTTTTGACACATTGCCACCAAGCGGAGCGCCGAAAACAGGGATTCAGAGCGTTAGCAATAAACAATGTGTACACGGCCACGTTTAAATTCAATGAACTCACGACTATTAGTTGGTCTTAATGAAGTAAAGTCATTATAATAATTACTTTGTTAGAGTAAACGATATTTTTTCTCATTAAAAAAAAAATATCTTTATTGCACATCAAACTGATGTGAAATAATAATTTTAACACGTGTAATTTAAAGGTCACATCTTTTAAAAGTCATGTGAATTTTATATAGCTAGGCTTCTGTATTTGTTTTAAAGCAAAAATGCCAGTAAACTATTTAAAAAACTAGAATTTCATGTATTCTTTCATAAAATATAGATAGTGTTAAAAAACCAAGGAGTATATGGTGTTTTAGTTCAATTATAAAATTATCTGATCTATGACCAACTGCCAACCCATTGTACACTGAGGAAAATCGACAAAGCTAATTTTTTAGCGAATCTAAAACAAGCTGCAATCAAAAATGTGTGTATATAGATAAGCATCATTATTTTCTCAAAGTCTTGAGGTTATTTCGTAAGAAAAAACAAACAAAATTTCCCAACACCAATTATTTAAGTAGTTAAGTCAAATACCAACAATGACTATTTGTTTATATTTTTTTAAAATATTATTTTTGATTGTACTGAAACAATAATAGGTGAAAACTTACTTATAAAGATAATTATAAAAATATTATGAAAACCACAATAATACCTGTCGACTAAACGCTAGTACCATGTTTCTACTGTCTCGTTTAGGTGGTTTTGCTTATAAAGACCGCTAATGAGGATAATTTATATAAATCAGGTCATTCTCAAAAAATCAGCTCATTTAAAGCGAAAAATTTCGAATACAACCCTTAAAAATAAAATTTTCACAAGCGAAATTACCAAAATTTAAAATACAATATGTGTCGCCTTCATAAACATTTGGTAAAGGATTTCTGCTTAGTGCGTCCACGTGTTCCATTCGTTTCGCACTTTTATGTTCTATTTTTATATCAAATCTTGTATACGTAACCACCACCTGGCTATTCTTGGAATTAGCTAGCGTTTTTGCATCGTTGTTTTTAAAGCACTGCAGTCTGTCACCACCGTGATAGGTTTACCGTATACGTAATAACGCTATCTCTCCAGTGTTTCGATGACAGCTAATGTTTCCAGCTCGTAGCTGTGGAGCTTTTGTTCATCTCTCGTTATAGATCTGCTATAGTATACGACCGGTTTCCATTCGTCCTTCTCATTTTGTAACAGCAAGCCTGCTAACCCAATGGAGCTTGCATCAGTATGTACTTGATGCTCGGTATCCGATCGATAAGCAGTCATATCTGACTTCTTTGTTAATATTGATTTCAGTTTATTGAATGATTTTTCTTGCTCGTTACACCACTCAAAGTTTACGCCTTTATGTAAAACTTGTCGTAATGGTTTACTCACGATCGCATAGCCTGGAACAAATTTCCTAAAGTAATCGTTTGGGTTTGGGGCCTTGCAAAGTTTTCGACTGTTAAAATTTTTGCTGTACCAGGGCTAATGTTGTCTGAAGTCAATTTATGACCCAGGAATTCGATATCTCGATTCAGAAATATGCATTTTTTTATATTTAGTGCGAATTTCGCCTCACGTAGTGCGTTAAATACTCTTTGTAATTTGCTAAACATTTCGTCTGCCGTATTTTCGCCTACGCCAATGTCGTCCATAAAATCCACCATATCGCCAGGATGAGTCATTTCTTTGACATTGGCTACCCAGGAAACCCGCCGGAGCATTCTTGAGTCGTTATAAATGCAGTATACTTTCTGCTTTCTTCTGCTATTGGTATTTGATAATACCCTGAGTTAAGATCAAGGGTTGTGAAGTAAGTATATTGTAGTCATTCTTCGCTTCTTGTAGTCGTTCTTCGATACTTGGGGTGGGAAATATTTCTTTGATTGTGTTTTTGTTGATACGTCAATAATCAATGCATAATCGATCTTCGCCATTCTTTTTCTTGACCAAAACAATAGGACTGGCAAACGTAGATTCTGGATGATACCGTTTTCCATAAGGTCATTCACCATTGCTGTCACCACCGACCGTTTTGGTGCTGGTACCCGGTACGGCTTTTGTACAATTGGTTGATAGGCTGTTAATGTAATTTACATTTTCGTTTCTATTTCACTCAAGCTGGTGGCGAATACGTCTCTATTACTATTAATGAGATTGCTCAAGTCTCGTCGTATTACATCGCTATCGCAGTTGATTTCGTTCATTAATATAGGATCCCGGGTAGTTATTCTTACCATTATGTGTCTTGGCGTTTTCTCTAAAGTAAACGTATCGCCCTGAATTTGTACCACTACATCGTCTGACACACTACATCGATTGTAAGCATTTTATCGTCTACTACATAAAAATATATTTGTTGGCTGATGCTATTGACAGCAAGTTAAGCCTAACCCTTTCAGTTAGTCGCACCTCTCCACCGCCGAAACCTGAAATGTTTATAGAACTCAACTAAACTTGTCCATTAATAGGTCTCAATACTGTTTTCCGCACAAGACTGCACTGGCTACCTGTGTCAAGTAGTGCTGTACATTGTCTACCATTGATGTCTAATTCTCTTATAAATTCGTTGGTGCGTTCAACTCGACACACACTCAAGTCCCCACAGTGAATACCCTGACCTTTCGGGTGAACTCT